CCCACAACGGACACCCTGTGAGGTAGGTGGGGTTGAGAGAGCTCTTTCAAGAACTGCTCATGAGAGAACAGCTCTGAAAGAACTTGTGACTGACCCAAGGTCACACCAGCAGCTGCATATGGAGGCGTGGGGACTCAAAACCTGTTCTCCCAGATTAGAGTGCGTGCTCCTAACCACTACACCAAACTGGGTCTCAGTCTGGTTCTCAGATGGCAGGGGCACCCAAAGCAGGGCCCCCGAAGGCTCACGTGGGAGTAGTGGGTCCTTAGCTCAAGAAAACGTCCAAGAGGCTTAGACAGTCCAGCTGAAAAACCTGCCTTACCAGCTCCTCCTAGAAATGGTTACCTTAACACAGCAGAGGATGGTTCACAGGGGCTGCCCTGATATCCTCTTTAAAGAGACAATCCTATTTTGTCCAGGTTATTTATTATTTTCTATTTATAACCCACCTTTCCTGCAGAGGCAGGCTCAAGGTGGCGCACAACAGATTAAAATACAATACGATACAATTCAGTTTGGGTAAACATGGCATGAGGGTAAAGAGTGCTACGCTTCTCTCATACTGAATGCTTTACCAAAGGAGAGCTATAGTTAAATCGCTTTTGTTCTTGTAACTTCCACAGCATGGACGGCTGTCTCGATTCCTGCAGCAGCTCTCAGCACATTCTCTTCCCTATTTTCTCAAAGACTGAGCGCAAAGCAAAGCATACCACTCAGGGTACGCATTTCATACAGTAACAAAGTTCTGACACAAAGACAGTTCTAGGCGAGAATATGTGTGCTCAACATGCTTCCCCTATCACATGCAACTACCATGTCCAAGGACGAGCCATCATGTACACAATCCTAAAAATCCCCCACAGACACCAAGGAGTCTTAATGATCTGAACAGCGAACAGATTGGTTTATCCCACGGTATGCTGAAACCACCCCATGCTGTTGCAGCACTACTAACTCGTAAGAGAAGACAGCAAGAGGTATACTAAGGCAAGTGCTTCAAGCTAGAGGGGTTACGACTGCTTGTTGTAGCTAATGAACTGATGCAAGAGTACTTCATGTCAGTTCTGGTTCAGTGGAGCGCCACTAAGAACTAAGCTCCACTAGGTACTGGATTCTTGCTTCTTTCCTCAGCCCAGATTTAAAACAAAGCAATTTCCACTCGATTCAATGCAAATGAACAGATTGGTTTATCCCACTGTATGCTGAAACCACGCCATGCTGTTGCAGCACTACTAACAATACGTAAGAGAAGACAGCAAGAGGTATACTAAGGCAAGTGCTTCAAGCTAGAGGGGTTACGACTGCTTGTTGTAGCTAATGAACTGATGCAAGAGTACTTCATATTAGTTCTGGTTCAGTGGAGCGCCACTGAGAACTAAGCTCCACTAGGTACTGGATTCTTGCTTCTTTCCTCAGCCCAGATTTAAAACAAAGCAATTTCCACTCGATTCAATGCAAAGACAACAAACAAGACAACACAAGGCCTGAAAAATAAGTTCCAGGAAAATGCATTATTAGGCAGAGGCACAGTTTCCCAATGTTTGAACGTCAAAGAATTCCCTTTATATCTCCATCATCCAGGAAAGCTCTAAGCCAGGGGTGTCAAACATAATGCCCGGGGGCCGGATTCGGCCCATCCAGGACTCTTATGTGGCCTGTGAGCAACTGATGCAAGGGAGGGAGTGCAGGGGGGAGTGGGGGGAGCCAATCCATTGTGGCTTCAGCATGGCAGAACAACCTCATCTGCAGCAGTCAAGCATCGTGGGAGCATCTGCTCAGTGCTGCACTCCTGGCTCTCCAGTCCGCTTAGGTGAGGATATACCACCTCAGAGCTTATCAGCTGCTATCCTTTATACAGTTTTCATCTCCGGTACTTGGCATGACGTTTCACGGCACACATGGCCCACAGACCTTACCAGCTGCTGTCCTTTATACAGTTTCTATTTCCAGTACCTGGCATTATGTTTTATGACACACTTGGCCCGGCCCGACAAAGAGACATTTATGTCAGATCCAGCCCTCATAACAAATGAGTTTAACACTCCTGCTCGAAGCCTTCTTCTTGAAAAGGAGAGTGACTTTAGGGATCAGCTGAGATGTCCAGAAAATGATGCAGTACTGTAAGGCAAGGGGACCCTGCTCTTATACTTGAGATTTACAACACACTCCTGTGCCGAGTTACTCAGTCTGAACCCAACTGGCTTGGATCACATACCTTTGCTCTGCTCACATTTCTCTGTGGTCACGGGAGAGGAAGTTCTCCACTGCAGAGTTTGCTTCCTCGCACACTAAGGGTTTTGGCGCTCACTGAAAAACATCAGAATTACACAGCTGGATCTGCCTAGTGCTAGCAAAAGCAAGTTCCACAGCAAAAGACTGCCTCCACAGCTCCTGCAGAAAAGTATGCAGAGACCATAGATTCAGGATTGTTCTTCCCCAAGTTACAAAGATGTGCATTTCGCATGTGAAAGAGATGTGGCTCAGGGACTGTATTTACCTAGCATTTTGCATTTCCGCAGCCAAAATCTACACCTCATTCTCAATGTCATGCTATTCGTAGGCAGTACTTTGCATGCTCAAATGTAACTTGTAAACCACAGATGGCCAAGTACTTTTCATCCTGCCAACAGAGTACCAGAGAATTGTTCAAGAGGGCATTTTTATAAAGGGAACACAGCTACAGTTTAATGGACTGGTTCAGGAAGGCACTTTGGTAAAGGAAAGAGAGCTGTAGTCTGTGCCACTGTTTATCGTATTATTATATTGCTTACGATATGGTTTACTACTTTCGTAATGTTGCAAAAAAGTGATGCCTGGCATCATGTCTGATACTCTTGTTTTGCATTGCTTCTACTTTTGTAATCCTATTGCATTTGTGGATCTCCCATGCTATTTGACTGTATTGTTTTACACCATGCAAATCCACCTTGAGTCTCAGAGAGAAAGGCAGGCTGTAAGTAAATAAATTTGATGCAACACATCCTTCGCCCACAAAAGCAGCTCCATTAGCGTAGCTGAGCTAACATGAACCAGGCAGTCATGGACAGGATCAGTAACAGTTTCCACAACAGCAGTGTTCCCACTTCCCTAGGAACTGCTACCAACTCTAGTTTTTGTAATGTATTGGAATAGCTTGCATGAATCACCTCATTCACCTTCAATGTTAAGCTTGAGCCGGACGAAGGCTCCACAGAACTACATTCCTATTGGTCGCTTTGCAACAGCGACCAATCAGAACTGTTACAGTTCCCTGCGAGGGAAAGACTCTCATTGGACGTTATCCGCACAACCTTATTGGTTGTTTATTGTAAATAGGCGTGGCTATGTTAGGCCGGGAATGTTTAAAAGGAGCCTGGCCCCCAATGTTAAACTTTTCTGGTTATGAATGCGTTTGAGTGCTTGTTCGTTACTTCAATAAAGCTGAATCACTTTGCTGAAATCACTCTCCGGATCTTTGTTAGCACGATCTAACACTTTTTGTCTCTCTTTGCAAATGAGTTCTAAGAGATGCCAGGATGAGAAACAGGCTGTGTGAATCAACTCCAGCAGCGGAAGCAAAATAAGAATATAGCTTCAGTATGAGAGCACCATTTTTAAACTCATTATTCCAGAGAAGAATGAACAGTTTTGCAGTAACCAGAACCCTTAAGCAGGTCCTACCTTAAATTCTGTAGCAGCCCAGCCGAACCTATAATCTTGTCAGAACCCGGACGTTAAGCAGGGTTGACCATGGAGACCACCAAGGAAGACTGTGGTTGCTATGAAGAAGAAAGCTGTGGGAAACTACCTCTTGTCAGTTTCTTGCCTTGAAAACCCAATGAGCTGGAACTTCATGGGGTCGCCATGAATCAGGCGCAACTTGATAGCCCAGTTCACTTTTTACCTCAAATTCCAAAATATAGTAGAAGAAGAGATTGGATTTATACCCCACCCTTCATTCCCCAAAGGAGTCTAAGAGTGGCTTACAATCTCCTTTCCTTTCCCCTCCCCACGACAGACACCCTGTGAGGTCGGTGGGGCTGAAAAGAGCTCTGAGAGAACTGCCCTTGAGAGAACAGCTCCGGAAAAAACTGTAACTGACCCAAGGTCACATCAGCAGCTGCATGTGGAGGAGTGGGGAATCAAACCCAGTTCTCCCAGATTAGAGTCCCCCGCTCCTAACCCCTACACCAAATTAAAGATTTGCTACATTTAACTGCAGGGTGGTTGGGAGGATAAAATGGAAGAGGAGAGAGCCTGAACACCAAGCTGAGCAGGCTACATCCCACATACCCACACACTGCAGAGGAGATTCAGCAACTACCCATGTTTCTATCCATCTACATCAGAAGACAATGTAAAGACTTCTTGGATTACCATCCTCCTACCACAAAGTGGCTCTTTGAAAAGCTGCCAAAAGGCCAACCATCAAACTAAACCGTCTCTTGTTGTTGAGACAAATGCTCTAGCCACGACCCTGTGTCGAGTTAAGCATAATTAAGCCCATTATAAGCAACACTCTAACCACCAACCAGGACATGCACCTACAGCCTGCATGATACACAACCAATATTAGAATAGACAACACCTACGATTTCAAATATAAACTGCACAGATCTTATAATTTGCAGGGCAGTGGGGAGAAATTCTGATCAAAATCACCTAGTATCTGGGCGCAATTTGATGCCATCTGTGTTGGCCTAACAACCCACGACTGCGATTGTTACTGGTGGGTCACTGCAAGGCAGAACAAGAAAATTCACCCACACATAACACTGAATGAGAACTGCACGCTATTCACAGATGCCCAATGAAAATATGAATTGCAGTGAATTAAGCTATGCAGTGGCAACTTCAAATTGGGGGGCAGAGAAGAAACCTGCCTGCTTTTTTCCCAGTGGTGAGAGCTGAGAAAGGCCAGGTAATTGTCAGAAAAGTCTTGCAGGAAGTCCACACAGGTACCATCAAGGACAGAAGCCAACTTCTCTGCCTTCTTCAACATCTGTTTCGCCCGCTCGCTTTCTTGATCAACTTCCAACTTAAACTGTCGAGATGGCGTGCCCCCTGGACCAAGCTATTGCCCTCCTGGTTGCTGTTTTTCACAAGTATTCTTGCAAAGAAGGTGACAAGAACAGCCTGAACAGGAAGGAGTTGAAGGAACTGATCCAGAAGGACTTGACCATGGGATCACACTTGAATGATACCGAGATTAAAGGACTGATAGATGATCTCGATCGCAACAAAGACCAGGAGGTGAACTTCCAGGAATATGTGACCTTCGCCTGAACAGGAAGGAGTTGAAGGAACTGATCCAGAAGGAGTTGATCACACTTGAATGATACCAAGATTAAAGGACTGATGGATGATCTCAACAACAAAGACCAGGAGGTGAACTTCCAGGAATATGTGACCTTCCTTGGTGCCTTGGCAATGATTTACAATGAAGCATTGAAGGGTTAATTGTAGACGAGCCCAGCTAGATCAAGACAGCATGGCCTTGATGAACCGGAAGTGCCTCTGTAAGCAGGGCAGTGGGGAGTGCCTCTGTAAGCAGTTTTGTGTCTAATAAAAATTGATTTTTGTAATGTTAAAAAAAAAAGGGACAGAAGCCAGGAGGGCCAGAAGTTATGGCCCGGTGGAAGCACAGGTGAGGCCTGGGAAGAAGCGGGGCTCTGTGAGGCCATTTCCAACTTTCAAACCACTCTTCCTCCTGAAGATGGTGCCACAAGAGTTCACGACAATTACGCTTATGCTTCAGTCATGTTTGGTAAATAAAAACTTGACTAATTAACTCTTACAAATAAATGGGATAAGGAGAACATGGGAAAGCAACAGTTAGCAGTGCTGCCATTGAAAGACTGCAGCGGGAAAGACTGTGCAAGTACAGTTCATTAGCAGTACTAGGGAAAAGGCCGAGCAATGGACCTTTCTTTGAATTGATAATGTAAGCCAGTGTGTATGAAATCTCTTTGCATGTTAGATTCCTTCTTTTTGTTAAAAGCTCTCCGTTGTTCTTACTAGGTCTCTCAATGTCCCAGAACACCGAGTTGTGTTTTAAAAATAAAAACACATTTCATGGGAACAGGAAAGGCTGACTTGCATTTTTCACAGGGGGATCTTGTTTTCATTGCTGTATCCTCTTCTCTTCTCTTCCTTCTTTCCAAGAACTGGCACAAGCAATTGATAAGCTTGGAGCACAAAGGAGTTACTGATGCTACAACCGCTTCCATTTTGCCTTACCTGTTTCCCTCTCTTTTAAAAAAATATAATGTAGCATATGAAAACAGTAGTCTTTTTTTTTTAATGTACCTCTGTGTGCCCCATACTGAAATGAAGGGGCACAATTTCTCCTTATTGTTAAAACAATCTGAAGTTCTTTAAAAACTTCAGGGGGAAATTATGACACTGCATCACAAGTTTTTTACATGTTTGTATTATCTATATGCTTGAATACAGTACATATGAGATTCCTCTAAAGTTACAAAAACCATTTTATGAGATTTAGTTGAACATTAATGTCATTTTTACCTTATCTACTACGGCAACACGTTCAACTGCCCTCAAACCAAAATTCTGGTTTTCCAAATACCCAAACTCTTTGACATAAACCAAAGGGTGCTGGTAATTCAGTTCTTCAAGAAGCAGTGTGTTACTAATCTACTGTAGAGAATGCCCTACATATTCTATGATTGCATATATAGCTAAGGCAAAATAAGTAACTTCACAAGCTAGATAACCTCAAAACCAAAAATGTAATCCTACCTGACAGAGTGTACCTAGTAAAGGTAAAGGTTCCCTTGCTCGAAAGCCAGTCGAATCCGACTCTAGGGTTGCGGTGCTCATCTCTGTTTCAAAGCCGAAGAGCCAGTGCTGTCCGAAGACGTTTCCGTGGTCATGTGGCCGGCATGACTAAACACCATGGCGCACGGAACGCTGTTACCTTCCCACCGAAGTGGCACCTATTTATCTACTTGCAATTTCTTGCTTTCGAACTGCTAGGTTGGCAGGAGCTGGAACTAGAGATGGGAGCTCACTCCATCATGCGGCACCCGGGGCTCGAACTGCTGAACTACCGACCTTCCACAGCCTGCAGTTCAGCGTCTTAACCACTTGAGCCACCGCTAAACAGAACTGACCTCCACAAATATAAAGCGTGTGAACTGCACAAACTCTGCCTTTTTAAACAACTCCACTCTGGCTTCTTCCCTGTTCTCCCCATCAGTATTCCCTCTAAGATGAGTTAGTGTGAGCTAGCTCACAGTTTTTTAGCCTCCAGCTCACACATTTTTGTCTTAGCTCAGGAAGGATGGCTCCAGAGCAAACTAATTTATGCAGCAGCCAAATCGTTCACTCACAACTTTAATGCCAGTGGCTCACAAAGTAGGATTTTTGCTCACAAGGCTCCACAGCTTAGAGGGAGCATTGCTCCCCATATGTAGATTTTCCAATAATGTGTAGATTGGATTCTTCTGTTGTGACTTTCATGCAATATCAGGATAAATTTAATCAATACCACACTTCCCTACAATCCCTTGGACACAGTTCACCAAGCCTTTTCTACTGTTTTAATAAAAACAGCACACAGCAAGGCCTAATGTTTTATTCACCAGTGATGGCCTGTAAGTAAAAAATAAATCACGGCTAGACACCCGCTGGGTAATCCTGAATACTTTGAAGTTACTTGTTCACTATTTAGGATTGTCCCAGAATATTTAGCATAACAAAACGTGCCATATTATTCAGCACAACTAGGTATAATCATTAACCTCCCCCATCAAACTAAGAAATCATAATAAAATTGTGCAAGCTTTTACACACACATTTATTTCACACACTTTAAGATAGGGCCCAAGATACAACACCTTTTCTGTAAGGAGGCCAGGGGCTGACTGGTGCCTGCCCCAAGTTCTGTGATGGAAGAATGATGGGATATAAATATATACACCTATCCATCTATCATATTTTCCCTCCCCTCCTCCAAGGAGCCCAGAGTAGCATTCATGGTTCTTCCCCTCCTTCATTTTATCCTAACAACTCAAGTGAGGCTGAGAGGTCACCCCTCACAGTTTAATGGTGATCTGAAGCTAGGTCTTCCAAGTCCTAGCCAGACATGCTAATCGCACCACTGCACTGTATAAATAAACCAGACTCTACTCCCCCACTTAAGTCCTGCATTCCCCCTATTAAGTCTGGGCAATAACTATGCCTTTTTGGTTCATTCAGTGGAAGTATGTATCTGTTTTGACAGCACAGTCAGACGGGCAAATCAAAAGAAAAGAACTACAATGAATGGCTGCTGAGCAGTCTCCACAGATTTCTCCAGGCTAGCTTCAGATGCAATGTTTTAATGCTTGAATTGATACCTCCCTCACAGTCAAAATGGCTCCAGCTTTACCAGTACAGTACAGAAATTATTTCTAGGTGCAACATGAACATACGCGTCCCAAGATATTCAAACGTCACACTGATAAAAGATATTTTACCTCAGTTTCTTCCTAGCTATTCAGAAAAAGAACTGGTATCTACTTGAAGGAAGAAAGCACTATTTTCCTCTCATCGGTCCAACAATCAAGCACATGGACAAAGGTAGACCCTTGCCCCAACTGCAAGCATCCTGTCCAAAACAGAAACTCCTGTCATAATGTGGCTGTACCACTATCTGACACCATTTCCTAAGCCAAGGAGCTGTTGCCACAGCCTGTCTGTTTAGGGCAGATAGAGGGGAGAAAGCATAGCCCATGACCACATCCAGTCAGTCTATCATGTAGCTAAGTTGTAGTGACAGGAGTATTTCCACCACAAACATGACTTTTCAAGCATCACTAAGCAACAGACCAAATGTCATAGTTAGTCCAATTTGAGCCTTTGGAAAGAGATCCTTCCTTTCTCACAGGACAAAGTGACTAGTAGTCAGCCTGGAGCTGGGCTTTTTCCTTTCTTCCCTTTTCTGCTCAACACCAGTATCCATTTCTTTCTCCGTTTACCTCCCCCCCCCTTATCCCTTTGCGATTCCTTTTCTTCATTTAATTCTTCATCATTGCCCTTCACATTTAACCCTACCCCTCACAAATTGCTCAATTTTATGGGAACCACTGTGCCGTGCGTCATGCACAGTTTTGGGTCATTTCATCAGAAGCGCTCACGGCCATTCATAAAATAGATCCAGACTCTTTCTTTCTATTCCCTGTATAAAAGCTGGCGTTTGGCAGATGACGCAAAAGAGAGCAGCACGTGCCACTTCGGTGGGAAAGACTACAAAACAAGTCCTTCCTGTTTTTAAGCTCACACCAGAACGCTAAGCAAGTTCATGTCAGATCAACTAGATTCTGATGCCTCAGGTTTTCTAGGCTTTCCCACAGTGTATACATACTAGATGAAACCTGAAAGCTTAATGCCCCTAACAAATAAGGGCAATGTATGAGGTCCAGGTTAATCCGCAGCAACCACGAGATCTCTTTCCAGCCATGATCAGTCCCTTAAAGCCAAACTACATGTTATGGGTGGGCACGGGACAATCTGTGGCTGCTGATGCCATTTTAGTTGAGAATTTGGCAGAAATTTCCATAGGGATCTGATCCTGATTGGGCCACACCATACATCTTGTCCCTTCACACATTTTCAAGTGCCAAAACAGCCCCCCCCCTCCGGTGATTATTTCAGCACTTTAAAAGGCACTGGGGGATAACGAGGTTACAAGGTGTTGCCACACTGTGGGGCGCATCAGGATTAGGGGTTTTGCACCATTTTTTACATTGTTAAATTCTAAAATGGCATTGATGGCCATGGGTTGCCCCATGCGGGCCCGTGCATGCCCCTCAAGTACTATGGAACATGCCAAAGGAATCAGGGGAAGGCCCATGGTGAATTTCTGCAGGTTCATCCTTACAAACCCTACCACCCAGTAACAAACTGAAACTCAACAGATCATAACACTTCAGAGATTACCCAAGAACTCCATGCCTCGTCTAGGGCTGGAATCCAGCAGGCCGAAAATATCACACAACCAAAAACCTTGATTTCCTGATCACAGACACAAGTTAACACATGAACACTGCCTGCTTTAAGGGCCAGGATACCGAAGGGACTATGGATGAATGAATGGAACTTGTAGCAGCACAGAGGCAAGGGAGACCTGTTCCGCACTCCCTTCTTGTTTGGTGTAGTGGTTGAGAGCTAGTTTGGTGTAGTGGTTGAGTGCGCGGACTCTAATCTGGGAGAACCAGGTTGATTCCCCACTCCTCCACTTGCACCTGGCTGGATGACCTTGGGCAAGCCGTAGCTCTGATAAGAGCTGTTCTTGAAAAAGAGCAGTTTCTGTCAGAGCTCTCTCAGCCCCACCTACCTCTCAGGGTGTCTGTTGTGGGGAGGGGAAGGGAAAGGAGTTTGTAAGCCGCTCTAAGACACCTTTGGGTAGTGAAGGGCGGGGTATAAATCCAATCTCTTCTTCTCTTCTTCTTTCT